AATTAATCAAGTTAAAAAAAAAATTCACTTGAATCGGAATCCGGACGAAGGAGAAAAGCCCAAAAGAAGAATTGACGTTGCGGCGGCCCGATGAGGGGCCATGACAGCCCCATGCACGCCCATGCGCGCGCCCATGCACGCCGCGCGCGCTGGGTGCACACATGGCTGGCAGCAGCCCATAAAGCTGCTGTGTGGTTCTTTTTTTGCAGAAAAATCCAGAACAGAGGCTGAATTTGGAGGCCTAGATGAATTTTTTTTGCAAAAACACAAAGAAGAAACTCCACTCAAAATTGAGTTTTCTAGGTGATTCGCGAGAGAATTAAAAAAAAAACTCACTGCGAAATGGCCAAAATGCCCTCCCAAGAAATCTGGTCAAAAGAGCTAAAAAGCTGCTAAAATGAAAACTGGAAGCTGAAACTTCATGAGGGATTTCCGGTACCAAGACGATGTTTTCTGGAAAAACATGAAGAACAAACTTCCCCTAAAATCACGTTTTCTAATCGACCATGTCGAAAGAAGAACATAAAACTGATGTGAAAGGTCTAGAATACCCCTAGATCAGATTATGCAACAAAACCTCAAAATGAATCCATAGGAGGCTCATTTCACCAAAGGAGAAGATTTGCCCAGAAACGACAATGCACGCAAACGTAACTTACCTATTAGGATGTGCTACAATGGTCCACGATTTAAAAATACCACCGATGCAAAATCCGACCCCTCAACGGCCGGAAAAGGCAAAAATGGACTTGAAATGGAAAACATGAAAACCAAAATTGACAAATGATTTCAAATTACCGTTTGGCTCTTGGCCACACTTCAAACATGATTTATGAGACCCTATGAAAGAATCAGAATGGAATTTTCACGCCCGATGCAAAAGTTATGACATAACAACACATGAATTTTCAATATTTCCATATGAACTTTGAAAGCACAAGTGTATAGAATACGAGATACATGATATTGGCCTCCGGCTTCGTTACATACACATCAAAAGAGTGTCAAAAGGTGCACTTAAGTGCACATTACATGGCTTAAACAATAAGTACAAGTTTTGTCAAAATAAACAAAAGTAAACATGATATGCTACCATGTGCATATTCAATGTCATCAAAAATACTTCAAGACTTTTAGTATGTCTAAGAGTGTTATGTATCTCACAACAAAGCTTCTTTACCTGCAAAACACTTAGTAACTTTGGGGTGAATAAACAAGTCTAACAAGTTTATTCGTAGGGGACGAGCATGCATGACTCGATTTCTTTAAGATTTTTAGACAACATGAATCATTTCAAAAGGGGATTATGTCACCTAGCGTCTATGTCAAAGATTAGACTCAAGGATCATCCTAAGCCATCTTAGATCATTTCTAGCATAAATCACATCATCTATGCAATTCAAATAATATGGAAGCACGTTATACAAAGTGATCTGGTCGTCGTCCTACCATAAGCTTAAGAGTGTGCATTAAGGCGAGAGCCAAGAGTTTTATATTTATAGAAGCCACTACTACCTTTTACCATAAATATAGTTAGGGCGAGTAGGGATCGTCCCAAGGGACTGTGAGGATCAAACAATGTTGTGGAATTGCTATTAGGACTAGTAGGTTGAGTGATCAAACAATTGGTTGGTTGGTTGATTAGAGAATAACTAAATTCAACTAAGTGATAGCAAAAGAATACAATTAAGAGTAAGTAATAGAGAGAGAGATCGTAGGGTTTAGAGATCACCACCAAGCAATACATTTCTATACCATTGACAAGTGATTAATGAGGGCAAAAGGTGTGTTGCAATATTGGTGTGTTTGTGTGTGTGTTTGGTTGATTCAACAAGTAATGATGACTAGTTAAGCATGTATTGTCTAAACATCATGTGAAAGGCACAATATATTTAAGCAATGAAGCATAAATTGTCTAAACAACATGTGAAAGACACAATAGATCAAAACAAGTCATTAATCTTTTCATTAAGCTCACAATCCAAATACAACACAAGGATAGAGACATATGCTACTTGTATTCAAAAGCTTGGATCATCAAACAACAAGCATAGATTGTCCTCCCATTTAACACTACACTACAACTACACTACTAGCATGAAAATAAACTAGGGGAGAGGCACAATCCATCAAGGAATAAGTATGAGCCATCAAGAGAATCACAAGAGCATTCTTTTAAGCACTATGTTTTGACAATCTCCAAATCTATAGCATCAATACACAGACATGCATCAATAATACAAAATTTAGAGACAAGCACATGAACATCTACTCTAGCATACATAGACATATGGATAGAATGAAATGATCAATTGAAAGTATTAAATAACATAAATCATTGAATAAACAAGATCTATATATGTATCAAAGTGTCAAAACATCAATTACAACACTAATCCCTCAATAATACACAAGATTAAGATATAGAAAGCATGCTTGGGGCTAACTCCAGCCCCAAGAGGATGTCTAGCCACTCATGGTGGGGCTAACTCCATGATTGAAATCTGCTCTTTGTTGATGAAGAACTCCAATGGTGTCTCTAGCCTCCTCCTCCTCTAAGCTTGCTCTCCAAGAGATGATATGAAAATGATATTGGCTCCCTTTTGTAAAAAACAATCCTTATCCTTATATAGGTAGGTCAAAATGACACCCAAAATGAGCTGGGGTCGTGCACACAATATTCCCTAATGATTGGATAAAGGACAACTTTCAATGAGATGGAAATTTAACTTTTTCGCACTTGAGGAAGTTCGATTGATCGAACCTTGGACTTGGATCCATCGAATTTAGGTTGGATCGATCCAACTGGTTGAGCCTTTTGGGAAAAGACAAATCCGAGATATTTTGGGAGATATTTATAGGAAAAGGACAAAAGTGGTTAGTGGGTGGTACAGCTGTGGATAGGATCAATCATTTGAATAAGGACAAAAGTGTTCAATCAATCGAAGGGTGGTGTTGGATCGATCGAACTTTTGGACTTTATGCTTTTGGGCCAAGGCTTGGATCTATCTTGAAGTGCTAAGATCGATTATTGTTCGATCGATTGAACCTTGAACTTGGATCGATCAAACTTTGCTGCTTCCCACCTTTGGCTTCATTTGCTTTCTTCTTTCTCCACTTTGCTCATTTCTTTGTTTAATCCCAGAATTGCTTCAATTAAGCTCTTATTTGGCCGAGTTAGCTTATTTTCGGGATAAGTGCCTGAAAATGGAAATAATACGAAATCAATCTAAAACGGTAAAGTAAGACAGATAAAGGTACTAGAATGCCTAAACTTAAGGGATTTAAATACGCACTTTTCAGCGCTCATCATGATCATGCCCCCTAACGTCTATGTTCTAAATAAGTTTAAGGAATCATTCTGACCATGTTGAACAATCAAAACACAAATTACAATTTCAATGCAATCTAGCCACATAAAAGCATGTTATACAAGGCAACAAAATACAAATTCTTAAAGCTATCAGCTTGAAATCTAAAGCACGAAAACAACAGAATTGGGTCATGCCACCTAACGTCTATGTTCCAATTGAATCTATAGGATCATTCTTAAACTATATTAGAACATCAAAATACAAATTACAATATCGATGCCATCTAACCAATATTAGAACTTCTCAAAGTAAACATCCTGAAATTTAAAACGAGAAAACAAGTAAGAAACAACAAGTCATAACATCATCTAGTTATCAACTTGAAATGAAATGCGAAATCAAATAAAGTGGATACTTGGACGTCACGCCGGATCAGACCGACAACATAGTTATTTTAAGGTTACTAGCTCATGGGTAACCTCCCTATGTGCGCACTAGACTATATAGAGGGATAATCCCCCGTACTAGAACCACGTCCTAGCCGTAACCAAACAACGACATCCCCAAGTTTCCAAAATCAACAAGTTGTGCAACAATGTATATATCAGCATATATATACAAGATAATCAATTATCTACCATGCACAACCAAATTTGGAAACCTATACAATACATGCTCTAAGTCCACAACTAATATGATATGATGAATGTCGAATCTTCAGTGTGGGATTCGTTACACGCTATGCATGAAAGATGTTAAATACGAAGTGTGCAAATCATTACACAAGATAACAATATATTCAATAAGGAAAACATATTCTCATGAGTATAAACATAGCAACTATGTTATCCAATGCTCAAAACATAATCAAATGAATATACAAAAACAAGGTAGAGCTTTAATTAAATCATGCTAATTTGAATCCCAAGGTTCTAAAACAACTTCTAATAGTCCCAAATTAATATATGCTAGTAAACAAGTCATGATCAATACAATTATCAAGTTAAAAACTTAATTAAGCTAAGGGGACCATTAAATAGATTTTAATTAATTCTTTTAATTAAAATCCCTAAATTTTCAAACTTAATCAAATGCTCTCAATTTAACATATCTTAGAGAACATGCCAATGACTAATGTAATATCACATTATAAGTTTATTTCATTCAATTTACGAACATGTGAATTAAATTTTCACTAAAGTTAAATATAAAATAAAAGTTGCAATTCTCATGCAATTAATCCCAATTTAATATACGTGAACAACCATACCAAAGCCTAATTTTCTAGCATGCCACAAATCAATTCCAAGTTGTATATCACTATGAGGATTAAAATCTTAAACAAGGAAATTAATTAAATGAAAGGTTTCAAAACCTCACCGAATATTTTAAATCAAATATATGTGAAGCTATATGGCATGTAGATCAAGAATATCAAGTCGGAATTTAAATGGAGTGAATAGTGCACTCGGGGCAAATTAATTAATCAAATTAATTAATAATTACTAATTTTCAAAACACCTCCAATTACTTTCAAATTCAACTATGTTGAAGAGCATGCTAAGACCAAATATAATATGCTATCACACATTGATTTCAAGCTAGTTAAGGCCACATGAATTAATATTTTATTCAAGATAAATATTAAATAAAATCGTCATTTCTTATCCAAATGCTCCAATTTTAATATATGTTAATTAACATATCAAGGTGTAATATAATGTCAAGCCACAAGTTTAAAACATGCTATAACTCACCGGGAAAATTAAATTTCATACTAGAAAATAAATAATCAAAAATTCTAGATTTAATATCCAAGCATGTAATTGAGTTGAATAAGCATGACAAGCATGTAATAGAGCAAGAAAGTAAATTATAACACCCCCTACCTTAATTTGAGATGAAAACCTCAAATCCGTACCGGAAAAAAAAGTGTTTAGAATCCGCCGAAACTCCTAGGTTTTGTCGGGGACAACCCGATCTACATGAATCCGAAGGAAGCCCCATGAAAATCACAACTTGACCTCAAACCCAAACTCAAGAAATGGTCGGAAATGAATTCTAATAAGGGGGAATGGTAGAGCACGTCGAGGGGAACAATAAATGTAAAGGCCGAAGGATTTCTACCAAGGAAATCAAGTGGAGGAAAAGGAGAAAGGGTGGCAGCCAAGGAGCTTCCATGGCTGCCGGCCAAGAGCTGGAGAAGATGAGTGAAAATCTGATTTTTCACTTTAAGTCATCCTATTTATAGAAATCTCAAAAACTGCCCCGAAAGGACCCCGCCGGGTCCGGAAAAGTGGATTTTGAGCAAACATGTTCAAACGGCAAAAATACGTGAACAAAAAGATTCAAAATACGAAAATATGAACAATGGAAGAAACGACGTCAAAAACTGAGTCCCGAGCAGAAAGTTATGCCCCGAATAAGTTCGGCGGCAACCGGGTCCAGAAATTCTGAAACTGGAGAAAAATGACCAGAACGGAATTCTAAGAGTCCACGACTCGAAGAAATGTGAAAATGAATCACGTACGAGGATCCAGGCTCCAGACGAGACATTTTGCAATAACTTTCGTTAATTGCACAATGGCCCTTACAAAAAGGGTTAACCTCGAAACTGCCCCAGAATGAAAATATCTTCCAAAAGATATTTTCTTAGATACCCCTGAAATAAAATATTTTCAAAAGATATTTACGAAAAACACCCCAAGAAATGAAAAAGATTCTGAAGAATTGTGCATCCACGCCTCTATGGACACCGGGAGCAACCAGAGTACTTTCTTGCAAAAGTAAAGATACATATTTCGAGGAAACCACTCAAGATGAAGGCACGTGAAGTCAAAAACCAATTCCGAGCATGAGAAGTGAGGTTGTGCCAACAATGTGACAAATGGGGAAAAGACAGAATAGAGAAAAGGACGAAAGACGCATAGTGTCCGAAAAGTGAAAATGCGAAAATGACTCGGTCCTCAAAGGAAGTTGTCAATTCACATGAAAGAGTCTCAGAAACCAATTCCGAGCACTCAAGATGACACTAAGCGACACGAAACAGAGCTCAGAAAAGAAAATTAAACGAAAAAAATTCATTTGTAAAATTTCAAGAAAAAGGAAAGGGAGGCAAATGACCGGGTCGTTACATGTCTCCTTCGGACGCCTGGTATTTCTGATTGATTTATTTTTTAACTTCAACTTCTGAAACCCCAAGATATCTAAGTGTCAACACCATAGATTTTCTACAGTGAAGAGTTCAAGAGGGGTCTCTTGACCTGTATTAGTATGTTGTAGCAATGTCCACATTAATGGTTGTTTGTGTTGACATGTTCTTTGTCTACGAAGTCTGAAACAATCCAATGAAAGTTAGCTATAATGAGCTGCTTCATCATTTGGAGGGAGATGGGTGTCACAAGATATTTTTGCATTGGTGTTCTTTGTTTTCTGTAAGGGTCAAAGTTGTGGTCACTGTCGTAATCGTCATCGTCGTAGTTGGTTGATAAATTAACATGGTACCATACAATCCCCTCATCCTCTTTTGAAGAATTGTACTAGTAATTATGGATTGAGTTTTGCATGCGAAGTAAAGAGTCTTTGAGACCATCCTTCCTTCCGGCACCTTCTTCTAGGGTTTTTGGATTAGGGAAGAGTTGAGAAAGCCAGCAGTTAAAGCACAACCTTTTTTTTATAATAATACCAAATTCCAAATTGGAATTAGAAAAGGAATTTTAATTTAGGGTAGATAAAATTTGTTAATTATTGTTATTATTATTGTTATTGTTATTATTTTTTTTAATGTTTGGGGTTAAAATAATACTGTATACAAATAAATAAAGTTTAACAAAACAATTTATCTAGCTCCCACAATTTCTTATGTTTGAATCCACAATAATACTTTGCAAAAAAAAAAAAAATTGTAAATAATCTTTCCTTGCAACTTAACAATTAAAATTCAAACTCTTGAATCAATATCAAATCTCAATATGATTAGTTGAGAATTGAAATTGGATCCTCTAAGACAATTAAGGAAACAAAAATATAAGGCTTAAAAATTCATATGGAAAAATTAATGTTCTTACTATATATACTTCATCGGTACAGTTTCTCAAAAGAAACATCCTTTTTTGGAAAGAGGGAGTATATAGTAAGAATTTCCCAAATGAGACGTCCTTTTGTTAGAGATTTACCGTTTCCAAAAGAGATATTTTTTTTAGAGACATCCTTTTTGAGTCAGAGGAAGTATATGTTAAGAATTCCCCAAAAGAGACATCCTTTTTGGGACAAAGATTTTGATTATCCGAACAAAGAGGGATTGTAAAAAGGCATTCGTTCGGTTTAATCCGGCGTAATGTCCAAGTATGTCCACATTTGGTTGAAGAATTGTACTCGTAATTATGGATTGAGTTTTGCATGCAAAAGTAGAGAGTTTTTGAGACCATCCTTCCTTCCTGCACCTTCTTCTAAGGTTTTTGGATTAGGAAAGAGTTGAGAAAGCCAGCAGTTAAAGCACAACCTTTTTTATAATAATACCAAATTCCAAATTGGAATTGGAAATGGAATTTTAATTTAGGGTAGATAAAATTAATTAATTATTGTTATTGTTATTATTTTTTTAATGTTTGGGGTTAAAATAATACTGTATATGAATAAATAAAGTTTAACAAAATAATTTATCTAGCTCCCACAATTTCTTATGTTTGAATCCACAATAATACTTTGCAAAAAAAATTGTAAATAATCTTTCCTTGCAACTTAACAATTAAAATTCAAACTCTTGAATCAATATCAAATCTCAATATGTTTAGTTGAGAATTGAAATTGGATCCTCTAAGACAATTAAGGAAACAAAAATATAAGGCTTAAAAATTCATATGGAAAAATTAATGTTCTTACTATATATATATATACTTCATCTTTCCCAAAAGAAACATCCTTTTTGGGAAAGAGGGAGTATAAAGTAAGAATTTCCCAAATGAGACCCCTTTTTTTTTTTTTTTTTTTGGAGAGTTACAATTTCCAAAAGAGACATCTTTTTTAGAGACATCCTTTTTGGGACATAGGAAGTATATAGTAAGAATTCTCCAAAAGCGATATCTTTTTTTTTTTTTTTTTTGGAGAATTACAGTTTCTCAAAAGAGCAAAAAGAGACATCCTTTTTGGGACAGAGATTTTAATTATCCGAACAAAGAGAAACTGTAAAAAAGCATTCTTTCGGTTTAATCCGGCGTAATGTCCAAGTATGTCCACATTTGGCGAAAATTTCCTTTAAACACCAATTCCCCCGCTCTCTGAAAAAATAATTCCCTCTCCATTAATCTCACTAAGGCACGAATCAGATGTTAGCTCCTATTCCACATTTTCCTTTCCCCATTGTAAACCCTAAACTTCAGCGGCAGAGGACTTCAACTTCTCATCCCTAATCCTACACCATCATGAAATTCGAATAGGCAAAAGAGAGGTTTTCGATGGGTCTTGTCTTGTAAGAGACACCTCTTCTTCAAACCTAAAAGCAACTCCTGCACGATCAGAATGATGGGCATATTTCATTCTTTCTTCCCAAAATACCGGTACTTCCGGTCAAGCAGACAGATACCACCATCAAGAACTTTGCACATTTTGTAGCGCTGCTCTCTCCTCAGATTATGTGTAGATTTATTCAGCGGTTTCACCCTGGCTGGACAGAAAGTGGTGCCCCTTGCTTCGAGTCGCCCTCCCTTAACTGATTCTGAAATCACCGTCTAAAAAAGAAAGACTTCTTCGACTTCATCCCAAATTGTGAGTTTAATTTTGAGTTTTTACTCTCTTTTTAGTTTTGGTGTAGCTCATTTTAAGTTGTGAGATTATTTTAGAGCTCAAACCGTCACTACAAAATTAGCTTATTTGTTTTGGCCTTGTATCAATCAGTAAATTAAACCCTTCATGGATTTAAAGATGTTGAAGCTTACTGATTTTTCTAGCAATACAAGGATTGAGTTCATTCGAATCGGGGCGTATAACTGTGAAGCTCTGAAATTTGAAGGTAGAGGTTTGATTTTACTGGTTTTGTTTGGCTTTTCCGGAATCTCTGATTTTGATAAGAGTGAGTTGATTTTACTAAAATATAATTTTTTTGAAATCTAAGAATTGTTTGCATATTTTTATCTGTTTGATTGTCCATCAATTAAAAAAGAAGATGTTATAATTTTTGGGAATATTGGCCTGGATTTTTCTAGATTTTGGTATGGTTGTGTTTTTCTTGTCTGGGTATGTTGTTTGCTTAGTTGCTGGTTTGATTTATTGAATAGGGGAGGCTGGGTTTTGATTTTATTGCTTGTTCATTCTATACAGTTTCTAGTCTCTCGTTTATTCAACACTTTGTCATCTTAGCTACGGTTTGAAGACTTTTTTCTGGTCTGGTTATATCATCTCATCAGTTGATATCTTGTGGCGTTCGGTTTGAGAACAGATCACATGTTTTATGGTCTTATGGTCACTTTTTCCTAGAATAGAGAGAGTTTAGCTGGACCGTGGTGGTGTTTAATAGCATGTGTTTTTCAGTTTTTCTATTGTTCTTGTTTTAAAGGTGCTAATTCCATCTATCATGTTTAGGCTAATTGGGTTTCATAAGCATTTTGTAATATTTTCAATTTATTGGAAACTTCAAATTTCTCTATTAAGAAAAAACATAGAGATGGGAGCAGATTATTGGTCAATTCAATCTGCCTCGCCAGTTCAGCTTGCTAGTAAATTTAGGGATTAATTTTTTAAGTTCATGGATTTGAGGATTTCTAATTCAAGAACCATACTCCTCAAACAATTTAGGCATTTGATGAATAAAGAAAACCATGATAATTTCAGCAACAAGATCATTTCAGGTTCTGGTGTCTTACCAATTTGTGTTGTTTTTCTGTTCCATGATGGTCCTTTTTGTAGCAAGTTCAATACCCTTTTGATGAACAAAGAAAACCATGGTAATTGCAGCAACAAGAACATTGGATTGACCAGTATGGGAAAGGTTAGATTGGTTGTGTTTGGGCTATTGTGTGTTTGATGCATGACTATATTCAATTATGTTATTGGTTGAGTTTGAGTGCTCTCAGTACCTCATTGTTGTTGGGGTATTGGGTTTTGACTTGTATTTGTTCTTTGTTCCATGCTGCTTATTTCTTAAGTAAGGATGCTTGTTGGTCTACTTGGATCCTTTTAGTTTTCTGGGTTTGGGGATTTCATGAGCTTAGTTTTTGTATTTTTAATTTGTCTTTGCATAATTGATCTAATAATGAAAAATCTCTGCTTGCATCTCAAAAAAAAAAAAAAAAAAAAAAAAAAAAAAATTGCAAAGGAAGAAAGAGAAAAAGAAAAAAATATAATAGAAAACTACATACATCTAGTTCAGTAAATGAACTACAAGAATTTTATACTTTCTTTTATTTGGGTTAGAATAATTATATACTTGCTCATGTGGATGTGTAAGGGAAAATATTGGTATCCCATTAGAATTTTGGACCTAGAACAAACACTTTGTCACAAATATGACTTGCACAAAGGAATTACTTTTAGTCATATGCTAATTTAACTGCTATCACAAGACTAGTATTAAAATAATACATGTTAGTATTATATCACATATGGTGGAAGAAAGTGGCGTTGCAACATCTGTGCGCGTTGCAACATCTGTGCTTTGCTTAATGATGGTAAATTAACAACTAACTTGTTTACCCTCCCAAAGGAATGTCAGGGGTTCAAGTCTCAAAAGAGATAAGTGTGTGTGAGTATCAACTAGGAAAAAAATAAAAAATAAAAAATAAATAAAAAATAAAAAAACTTGTTTACTTAATAACTGCACATTTACAATCAATCCGTAAACACAACAATATGATTTATTATTTGGAAGTGCTGGGGATTTATAGAAGCAAGATTTTTGAACATTGAATTCTATCATGAACATTTTTGGGTTCTTCAGAAAGTAGCGGAGGGTGCCTTGTTTGATACCCTTTGTTTTTTTTTGGTACATTCATTTGTAATTTTTTGTGCACATACAATTGCACATCATATTTCAGTTTCATCTGCAATAAGGATATTTCATCCTTGGAATTTTTCTTGGAAACCCAATTTGAAAATACCACACAATTTTACACTAGATGCTAACAATCCAAATTTTACCCTTAAGATTAACCTATGTTGGTTTATATTCAATCTACCTAACACTTGTCTTCAAAGTCTAGTAGCTGTGGATCACTGAATTTGTCTTTATGTGATTTCCCCTTATTGTAGTGAATTAGTGATCCTTTGTTGACCCTTACTGGAATGAGGTAGATCATTGCTCCCTCTATGCGGTTTTTCCATAATTCGATCCTTCATGTGTTATAGAGAGCAATTTATTGTCATTCCAAATCCAACTTGATTTTTTTTTTTTATCTTTAATCTATTATAAGTTCTGAACTATTTAAACTCATTATTTTTAAGTTCAAATACTTATTACATAGGTTCAGGGAAGTCCATCTAACTAATAATTTATCCAAATTCTAATCTAAACGATATGTTCGCTAAGGTCTCTCTGACCTTTACTTAATGTATGCTTCAAGTCTGATGAAGTATCTAAGTCATTTTACAGTTTGAATCCTTTCCTCTCCAATCTTCTCTTAATCAATGCTCTTTCATGGTAATCTGGCTCATAGGGGGCACGCAGTGACATTTTGTCCAACATCAAAACCATTTTTGAACAGATTTTTGACTCAAATCCTAACACGTGGCATGTGATTCGTTCTGATATTTGATATGCTTTGAATTTTCTCCAGGTTTTGTGAATTTAACAATGATTGGGGATGGTTGTAGAAAAAGTATCTCCCTCTCTCTTTCTGTAAACCCAATTTTTGTGTTAATATGACTGTATAAAAACAGTTTTATATAATTGAATCTGATACTTTTTTTTTTTTTTCTCATGATGGAACTTCCCATCTCTTTCCCTCAAGAAGCTTGTAATAGTTACAGAACAATACCAGCTTATTGAACTGCCTTGTTCCTTATTTTCTTGCCTGTTCTGATGGACTTTTCTATTTTAGCCATCCATATTGTATATTGTGATTTTTTAACCATCAAAAAGTTCTTTAACTCGTTAGTTTTTTAGCTCTTAATACTAGCTATTAAACTCTCCAAAACTACTTGTGTTTTGATTGGCCAGTTTGTGTCTGCTGGACCAGTTTGCTTCAGTAGAAAGAAAAAAAAAAAAGAAAAAGAAAAGTTGTTTGATCAAGAGACATTTGGTATGGCTATGTTTCTCATTTCTGTTTTGGAAATAGTAGGTGTTTCATGCGTTGCAACTTATTTCATGGTTAAAATGACTTAAGGATTTGTTTGCAAAATTAGAGCTCATGCAGATGTGAATAATTATAATCAACAAGCTAGGTGATGTGTGTTTTGTGTGGAATTTAATTAATGAACTGATTGCACATATTATTTGAGTGCATGTCACACTTCCTAATACTTTGTTTTCCATGCTTTATTCAGATTCGTATAGATCATGGCTCCGGTGTTTTCAAGGGATGCTTGGCATTGTGTATGGCATATGATCTAGGTATTGCTATATTTTTAATTGCATGTTTTAATTGGATTCCGTTATATATGTTGAACTTATGAGTGCTCTCCCGTGTTCGGCTGCAGTAATTGAAATTCATTTCATATAGTATTTTTCAATTTTCAGATATGCTGACTAATGTTTTCGCCTACATATTTGTAGAATGATTTGGTACATGGATGAGGATTGGATTTTGCCCCCAGAAGATGTGTAGACGTGTGTAGTTTGTGTTGTTGGTAATTGCAAATGTTTCAGGTGCATTCTTTTGGACCTGCATACTTCGACAAGTTTATTGTTTCTTTATCATTCTGTTTCATTCTACATGGTTAGTCCTATTGTTGGCTTACAAATTTCTTAATTACCATGTACTGTAAATTTTTTTTTTTGTTTGTCATCTCTCATCAAATGCGAGCGTGTTGATCAAACCGAACTTTTCTAGCTTCCTCTCCTTTGCCTTTTCCTTCCCTCCTACTTCTTTAAGGCTTTTTAATATTTTCGTTATGTAACACAATTAAATTACTAAACTTGATATTTCTTTTTTATTACAGAATGTGATTGAAGGATCGATTATTACCGTCAAGATATTGCACGGACAAGGGGGAGCTAATATATATTCAAAATCGATGGTTATGCTCTTATTTTGCAAAAGATGATTGTTTCTTTTCGAATTTAGTGAATTAGTTTTTATTCCTTGTTGACGTCATCATATTGGATGGCTGTGAACTTTTTTAATATTCATAGTGGCTTTAAATTTTATTTTTTGACACGGTACTAGACTTGATGTTTTTGGTTTAATGAAAAGTAATTGATTTTTGTTATTCTTATTAATACATGTTATGTTGTATGTGATCATATGATATGATGAGTGTCTTATTTTTTTAAATTGAAGATAGGTATCATTTGTCATATTGAACATAAGTATAAGATAGATTGTTAGTTCCATTAGAAAGAAAAGGGATTCTATATAATTTTTTTTTTTTTTTTGAACACAGGTGCAAGACAGATTGTTAGTTCCATTAGAAATAAAAGGGATTATATATATATATATATATTTTTTATTAAAAAAAAAAAAAACCTTTTGACGTCATGTGATGCATGTTGTTAAAATAAAAATAATTAACGACATATATAGAATTTTGTATTGGATGTTTGTGATAGGACGTAATAGTGAGTCGTTAAAAGGTTAAACACAAACACAACACGTGAAAATAGTAGAGTTGTTAAAAGGATAAACACAAACACAACATGCTTCGCGTGTTGTTAATGTAGGCATAGACGACTTTCAAATCATGATGTTACAAAGCTATGTATTAATGACGCATGAGAAGAGTTGTAAATGTTGAAAGCAAAATTCATTTGGTTGTTTAACGACGTCACATTTTAGCATTAATGACATGTAAAACACACCATGAATAATATAGAATTTTCATGGCTTGTTCAATTCGTATGCATGTTGTGAAAACTCTGCAACCTGTAACGACTTGCATCGCATGTCGTTAAAAGCCTTTTTCATTGTAGTGGCCCCCTTGATTTCCATTTCTAAACACACCAATTCAGAATCCTCTTCTCTAATTTTAAATTCTCTCCTCCTTCTCTCTTCTTCAATAATCATTAGAGGTACACCAAAGAACCGTGGAACCGGAACCGAAATTCCAATTCTCATGGTTCCGGTTCCTAAAATGAGGAACCGTTAAGATTCGGTTCAGTTTCGGTTCCGGTCTCACGGTTCGGTTCCGAAACCGAACCGAACTGTAATATATATATTATATATATTTGATTATATTATTAATATTAGTAACTCTAATTTCTAAACCTTTAAAACAAAATATTTTTAGGGCAAATCATTTCAGCCTCCCCAAGCGCCTCTATCTCTATTCTCGTTCTCGACTCTGAACTTGCCCTCTTTCTCTCTATCCGTCTCTTTACAACTGCAAACTACAAAATCTACAAGAATTTGAAATTCAAAACCCATATATTTCAGATCTGTCTGCAAGAATCAAAAGTTCAAATCAGAAGTTCAAAACCCATATATTTTAGATCTATAAAATCTACAAGAATCAAAAGTTCAAAACCCATATATTTCAGATCTGTCTGCAAGAATCAAAAGTTCAAAACCCATATCGGCATATCATTTTAAGATTGTTCAAAAAATCAAAACCCATATCTTTCAGTTTCCATCGCCCGCTGTTCCAGTTTGGGTTCGCCGTTCGCAAGCTTCAGCCACTGTCTCTCAACTCTTAAGCTTACCCCCTCTCTCTGTGCAACTGCTAACTTATATGTATGGGTTTTGTTGTAATTTTTTTTTTCTAAATCAACTAATCAAGGTCGGTAATTCTTGTTTTGCAAACTAATTAAAATCAAGTGTAATCTTGATATTGTGTTTAGGGTTTGCACTTAGAAAAAGGAGGAGGCTCGTTAAGAGGGATGGGATGTTTCTAAGGGTGGTTGCCCCTCTCTGTAAACGATGATCTCTACAAAATAAGGAAGATCATCTAGAGCCCTTTGTGTGTGTGTGTATATATATATATATATATATATCAAGGTTTGTAATTCTTGTTTTGTAATCAAAACCCATATATATATATATATATATATATATATATATATATATATCTTCTTCAACTTTTTTTTTTTTTTTTTTTTTTTTTTTGCGATGACCTTTCATATCAAGCCTTGGAAAGGAAAAAGGGGTGGCTGGAGATTTGAGAAGCTTAGATAGTCAACGGTTCCTTGGAACCGAACTGTGAATGCCGGTTCAGTTCGGTTCGGTTCCAGATCTCTACGGTTTGGTTCCGTTTTCAAGTTTAAAGAACCGTTAAGATCGGTTCCGGTTTCGTCAGGAATCGTACCGAACCGAAACCATGTGCACCCCTAATAATCATCTCTGGGTTCGAACCTTAGTCAGTGAGTTTGAGTCAGAGAGTACTACACAGAGCCAGTTCGCCTATTCCTTTAGTTTGTAGTGCTACTACCGAAGGAAGACAAGTCGTTGTATCCTGGGAGATAGACGCCACTGAATCCGTTAGCACCATAGCGGAGCGAATCTGTCTTAAAGATATAGAATCAAATTCTAGCCTTGACTTTTAATCAGGTTCTTTTGTTCTATAGTTTTTATTTTATTACATTAAACCATATATTATAAGATATTATATATATATATATATATATATATTATTTTATAATAATAATTAAATAAATAATACTATAGTTTATGATATACTTAGACCATATTTTGTACTACATAAATTAGTTTATCGATCTATTCATCCAACACCCATATCAAGGCAATTGGCCTGCTTTTCAAAGTAATACTAATTGATTTCTTCATTTTCTACCATTCTTAAAGTGTGTTATACTAACTATATAATCAAGCAGATGGAGGAACAAAAATAAATAAATCTCTAGTCAAGCGGCCATGTGCGCAACCACGACAATAAATCAATAGGCACAATCAATTAGAAAAATAGTAAATCGAATCCAGAAATTCTCATGCCCATAAATTTAAATAATATATGATATACTTTTAATTCCTTTCATCTTGATTTCTACAAGAAAACTTAAGTTTAACCTTGGCTCTAATATCAATTGTTGGGTTTTAATTCAATAATCCATATAGAAATCAAGAATACTTTAATTAATTAAAAGCAATTTAGACATACACACACATATATACTAGTAAAACATACGTGCGATGTTCATGTGCATTTCTTTCACTTCTGTCTTTTCTCGGTACTAGAAGAGTATTGGGAACTAGACTATATTAAATGGTCTATGATGTAATACAATATAGTTGAGGATATAATACAATCATGAAAGGTATATATTCAAAACCCCTCTTACATATGATTTGAAATGTGCGATTGCAAATTCTTTTTTGGCCTCAAAGCCTTCCTCATTCCTCACCTTAAAATAGCTTTAAAGGATTTTATTTGCCTAAAATTTCAATAAGTTGCTAATTAGTTTTGTTCACTTTCTACAAAACCAGCCATGAATACAAATGAATAAGTTGCAAGTTAGTTTTGTACACTCTCTACTAAACCAGCCATGAATACAAATGAGGAAGCGTTACAAAAGAAAAATAATAATAATAATAAAAATACAAATGAGGAAAGGGTTAATGAACACGTGTTGTAGAAAAAAGAGAGTAGGAAATCCATTCGGCCTAAGTTCACATAATGTGATACCCCCAGATTTCCGGATGCGGGTTGGCCAGGCCCACGCTCGAGTACCCAAGGATATCAAACTAATTAGTAATAAATGATGAACATAGAATATAATTAAGAAAACAGGAATAAATAAATTGCTAAAAAGAAACTAGAATGATAATCCAAATACTAAAACCTCAGAATAAAGTTTTATTAATAAAGAATTATTCTGATACATCCAAATTCTCCATTTCTAATACAACTCGGGAATCCATCTGGTGGACCCCTAATAAACTCTAACACTGAAATCAACAACTGAAGAACTCCAATGCTAAATCCCGAAGAAACTCCTACGTCATCGGAAGGATGAGAAGCCGTCTCTGCTCAGCACGAAAAAGCTCTAAGACCTGGAACCGTCCGTTCCCAGAAAAAAAAAATAGTGGGTCAGGCCCATGAACAAGTTCTATTCTAACTACAATCCAAATAGAGACCCGATACGCAGATACATCCTAAATGTCTCAACCATATCTATATAGTCCGTAATAGATAAATATATATCCACACTACAGGACTCTCACTAGACTATTCTAAGGGTCTCAACCTTAATAGAAGGCAACATGCAAAACGCACCTAAGAGGGCATGACTACCTAAGCTTAACAGGGTATACTTCAACCAACATAGCTAGCTACGCATCCTACTGCATATACGCTCCCTAACCGTCGACAATGAGACCTAAGCTCAGATCGCGGTACCATAATTTATATATATAAATCCCAATCCAAACCAATGTAGTGCCGCTCAACTGTTCGTTGCCATGACATGACATAAAATTAGGATTTAAATGTTTTAATTAAATCCCTATCCTTCCTATTAATAGAAAATAAAAACAACCATCCAATATGTCGTTCAACTGTTTTAGTTGACAGGACATGAAACCATGTATGATTTAACTATTTTAGTTAATCCATTCCGTATGTATGGATGGGTTGGAATTAGCGTTTTGATTTAATCCGTCCCTCCGTATGTCACCATCCCATACCGGTACATACCATGCATATGATCCGTAAATGATGCATTAACTCAATCAGTACACCAAATGCAATCCACATAAATCCATATAGCTGATAAAACAGAATTGGAATAGTTCATCAACTAAATATCCATAACAATATCTATGAAATTTACGAGACCAAAACTTAATCGTTCGTCAACTTAAAACCCAAAATCCATTCATATAATTGACAGAAAATATGCAATTAATTCTTCAATTAAGTCCAGGTTAACTCCCATGTAAATTACAAAACCTATGTTTTAGTTCAGCAATTTAAGTCCAAAACCATCATCCAGTTGAAAACCATCATCCAATTAATTGCAAAATAGTGTATCTAACAATTCAGCAATTTAAAGCAAATCTTTTACTCATGTAATTGCAGGAAAAATTAATGTTTCAGCAATATAAAAATCCAGAGCAGGCAAAGGTCCAATCTGTTAAATAAAGGACTCTACTGTGCATCTAAAACAAGAATTAGAAACATGTTATAATTCATTAAATTGCCGTATTAGAACAAGCAAGTAATTTCTTATCCTTAATCTATGTAATTGTAGAAAGGGTTTATTAATTCAGCAATTATATTCCCGAGTGTGCATAGATCAAATTTATTAAGTAAATAAC